GTATAATAAAAATAAGAAGACTTATTACCTTTTCCTCACCGGGTACACATTCTCTACTGTCACATCCCTACCAGGACTTTAGGAGTACAATATTCTTCCTCTTCCTCCTATTCTGGTCTACAACAAAATGGCCACCACACCTCCAGAACTGAGGATACTTCTTCTCGCATGGCAGACGTTTGCCCTCTAGTGGTGACTCCAAACTGGATCTATGTAGAAGAATAATGACCATAGAGGGGACAAACAACTTCCCAGGACAGAGGGGGGTCTCCATGTACCCAGCCTGAGCTGGAATCTTATTTGTATTATAACTATATGATAGTATGATATGTTTACCGTGAACTGATTTCTTTATCTTCCTTATTGTATAACGCAGGATAGCTCCGTCATGTTACAGATTCAAAATTTAGTATCGTGTACAGAGGCGCAAGAAGGATGGAGTCATCCAAATCCATCCTGGACACAATGGCGCTCACACCAATACTTCCAGATTAGAGTCAGCTCTGGACACGCTCCATGACCCTCAGTGTTCTACTGGTGTGAACGAAACCCAGCTCTGCAAAGCAAGAGGATGAACTACTTAGCTATGGTGCTGCCCCGTGTCCGTGGCCTGGACAGATGTCAGAGGAGCCAATGTGATATTTCTGGGCCAGCTGAGATCACTGGAATGCCCTCCATCTTGTTCCAAAGATAAGGAAGGTGTTAGCATAGATCAGGCGGTACTGGTTCTACTGAGTGACCGGAACATGCACTGCTTCCTTCCGCCACAAGGATCTCTGCTTCTGCAGACAAACCTGTCTAGTTTGTTGTTGAACCTGGAGCAGTGGAGGTCCGGCACTCCCCACCTGTGACACATAGTTACATAGTATTTGAGGTTGAATAAAGACACATGTCCATCAAGTCCAACCTATTGTGTGTGTGTGTGTGTATAGATCCCTGAGTCATCTCGTTATTAGGAGTACTTGTACCCCTGTATATTACCGTTTCTCAGGAAATCGTCCAAAAGCTTCTTGAATGATTCCACACTATTTGCTGAAATCACTGCTTGTGGCAACGAGTTCCAGACCCTAACTGCTCGAACTGAGAAGAACCCCTTTCGCCCCTTGTGTTTGAATTTATCCATGCTGATTAGGAAAGACCATTCCTGTCAGACTAACCTACTGACTTGGTTAGTTTCAGGACACAGGTCCTGAAACACTTCTGGGTGTCAAAGAACCCGTGTTCTGTTTCAGAAAAAGATTTCTAAAATTGAACATACTTCCGGAGACCCAGCTTGTGTGGACCGTATGGCAACTTGCTTAGATTGGACTTGGGCTGCTCATCCTGGAGGAACCGCTCAGAGTACTGCTTCATCGGCAAAGTGGACAGAGTACGTGGTGGGAGAGGAGCGTCTTGTACAAAGTGTCATGAGATTTTATAATAATATTCAAAATCTTACTTTGTAGAAAAGTACAGCCAATAGGGATGCACCGATACCGGTTTTTCGTTATCGATTTTTTTTCTGGTACTCACCGATACCGGAAGTCCCATTAAGGAAGCCGGGCGGAGTGTAATGACTCGCCACTCGGCTTGCTGATTAGCCGGGAAGCCGTCTCCGTGCTCCCCAGCCACCAGATGACGAGGAAGCATAGAGCCGGCTTTCTGGCCAATCAGGAAGCCGGGGGGCGGGTAATGACTCGCTGCCTGACTTCCTGATTGGTCGTACTTCCTGATACTCGTACTCACTCAAATGACCCCGATTCCGGATCTTTCTGTATCGGAAGCAGGGCGGCGAGTCATTACAGGGCGCACGACTTCCTTATTGGCTGGGAAGCCGTCTCCATGCTCCCTCGTCACCAGGTGACGAGGAAGCATGGGGCCGGCTTCCCGGCCAATCAGCAAGCCAGCTCCATTCTCCCCAATGATGAGGGAGCAAGGAGTAAGCTCCCCGGCCAATCAGGAAGCCGGGCGGCGTGTAATGACTCTCCGCCCTGCTTCCTGATACCGGAAGTTCCGGCATCGGGATCATTTGGACGAGTATCCACCCAAAAACTCGATATTGGCACCGATATAGATTACCCAGGCAATCAGGAAGCCAGGCAGCGGGTCATGATCTGGTGCCCAACTTCCTGATAATCGGGGCCCACGGATTAAAAAAAAATATCGGTACTCGTACTTGATACCGAAAAACTGGTATTGGTGCATCCCTAATTATAGCCATCTTTATAACACTTCACCACCTTTTGATTTGGCTCAGCTACGAGATCTCCTGGCTACCCTCCACCTACCCCTGCTGCCTCTCTTCTTGATTCAGAAATGACTGTCGAGGAGATTGAAGTTGCCATTAGATCCTTCCCACCCAACAAAGCCCCCAGACCTGATGGTATACCTAGGGAATGGTACAACTTGTATATCTCAGTGATAGCTCCCAAACTTAAGGTTTTGTTTGATCACTGCATTGCTACCAGGACTATACCCTCTTCTATGTCTGGTGCTCATGTTACTCTTATCCTTAAACCGGGCAAGGATCCTACCTCTTGCTCTTCCTATCTCATTATTAGACTATGACCTGAAGGTCTTAACCAAATTCCCGGTGATTAGGTTGAGCAAGGTGATCTCTTTTTTGTTGGCTGTAGACCAGACCAGTGGGGCTCCGTCCCACTGACCCGGAGGGGAGTGGAGTGGGCATTTCCTATTCCTCTTGCTATTTCACCATGTGTGCTGTGTTTTTATGAGCTACACTATATTGCCAAAAGTATTGGGACACACCCTCCAAATCATTTGATTCAGGTGTTCCGTGACATTTCCTTGCTACTAAATCTTCCACGGTCACCTGTTAGTGGGATTATAACAAAGTGGAAGCAACTGGGAACAACTGCAACTCAGCCAGGAAGTGGTAGGCCATGTAAAATGACAGAGCGGGGTCAGCGCATGCTGAAGTGCACAGTGCGCAGAAGTCGCCAACTGTCTGCAGAGTCAATAGCTACAGACCTCCAAACTTCAACCGGAACAGTACTGAAGGAGCATGGAGCCTGATTGGCTAGGAAGCTGCCTTTATGTGTTGCTCAGCAGCCTGGCTTCCTAACCAATCAGGAAGCCGGGCGGCAC